GTTTAGGGTTTAGGGTTTCTGGTTCCATCATAAACATTCGTAGTCACAGAAACAATAAACACACACACAAAGAACACCTAATTGTCCCACTAGTATGGTTACAGCTGTTGATTCAAAAACCCCGACTCACTCCTCCAAGAAGCCTCAAAATCAACCCTACCCCCTAAACCTTGAACCCCCAAAATGATGCCTCAAAATGAAGCCCTACGCCCTAAGCCTGGAACTGTTACCCTATACCCTAAACCCTAAACCTTGAACCCCAATCTTCTAAAGAACACCGCTCCTCACATTGAGCCCCAGGTACTTCAGTGTCAGCACACCTCGCTTTGACTGCGCCTCGTCACCCACGTACGAGTCCTGGGGGAAGCTCGAAGCTGCAATTGCTCGTTTTTAGAAGGTTCCCTTTAAAGGGTTTAGGGGTTTAGAGTTTAGGAGTTTAGGGTTTAGGGGTTTAGGGGTTTAGGGGTTTAGGGTTTAGGAGTTTTTCCTTGAAAGCGTCCATCCTTTGAAGAGGGCTCGTTTGGAGGGTTCCTTGAGGTAGCTCCCTTCCAGGCTTCCTTTAAGAGGAGCTTGCAGGTTTAGGGTTTATAGGTTGAAGGTTTGAGCTGGGTTAAGGTTGAGGAAGAATCAGTAGCGTTAGGGTTTTAAGGGTCTCGGGTTTAACGTTCAGGGTTTGGGGTCCCTAAAGCTTAGGGATGTTTAGGCTATAGGGTTTAGAGGATACAGTTCTGCGAAAGCTACTACGGTTTAGGTTTCGGGGTTTAGAGCTTCGAGGTCCATATAGGATCTGCATGTCGGGTTTCGGAGATTCGGTGACCCGGTCCTGTCGCCGGCCTCAATGGAGCCCTGCAGAACACTAATGTAGGGGCCTAAATAATTACCTAATTATACTATTTTGGGGGTTCCTTATTGTAGATATAGTATACCCCAAAGCCCTACTTTAATTTTTCAGGCCCCTACAACAAACAGCCACGGACAGCCTTTTGCGCCAAACCCAGCCATCCTCAACTTATTTCCCAAAGCCCTGCCCAGACTTGCCAAAACCTGCAGCCCTAAACCCTACACCCTAAGGCCCTAAACCCTAAACCCTAAACCCCGAAGCCCCCAAACGGAGCGATCCTTCTGGTCCATGCCCACCATGATGCCCGGCATCTTCGGGCGCCCGACGATGGACGGGAAGACGGCGCGGGGGGCATCGTCCCCGGCGAAGCCGGCCTACGGAATCCGAAGCCCCGGTTTCGGCCTTTTCCGCTTTAGGGTTTAGGGTTTAGGGTTTAGGGGTTTCAGCCTTTGTAGTGCTTATAGGGCCTGAGGGCTTTGCGGCTGTTAGGGTTTTTAGGATCTAGGGTTTAGGGTTTGGGGTTTTGCGTTTTGGGTTTGGGGTTTAGTGTGGAGCACAAAGTTATGATCAACAGTGATCGCACTTTTGGCAATCGTCATACTGCTGTGCACTTCCTTCAAAGCTCCACCTGAGTGTCTCTCCCCCGGCCAGGTACAACGACCATCCGAAGGCATTGTGGTTCATCAAGGAAAAGGCGCTCGATGTGTCGAGGCCGGCCGTTAGTTTGTCGTGTCCCTTAGAGTTTGTTACTGGTAGCGGAGCTTGTGTGCTCCAGTAGGACCTTAGTGGACCATGGCGAGTGATGTGTCGAGCCCGCCGCCGGGCTTTACTGCTGAAGATGCGGGCTCTCCGGAGCCACCGGCTGTCATGCCCCCGCCTCCAAGCTTCGGTTGGGGAGACAGAACGGAGCCTGACAGTGGAGCCAAGCCTGGCAAATCCAATGATGATGCAAGCCGTGAGTTTTTTGACAAGAACGACTCTGGTGCAAGAGAGGAGCGCCAGACTAGTGGTGCCACTCAGCGAGAGTGGCGAAGTGGGGAGCACGCCAGGCCGTCTGGGGAGGACGGCGAGGCGCGCAACGATGGGCGCTCGAACCGGAGCTCCACCGCCGCACCCTCGACTGGCGGAGATAGCCGGGGAAGGCGGCAGCACGAGGACGACCCATGGGTCTATGGCAACGACCCATGGCAAAGAGACTGGCATGGACGCTACGATGATGGTGGCGGAAGCCGTTACCACAGATGGAACGACGGCAGAGATGACGGACATCGCGTACATGACCATGGAGGATTCCGAGGCGCTCCCTGGGCAGATGGTCGAGACAAAGGGTTTAGAGGGCTCGATTCAGGAGGCGTTCAGTGGGATCCCAAGGCTGATGGTAGAGATTACGGACATCACGTACATGACCGTGGAGGATTCCAAGGTGCTCCCTGGGCAGATGGTCGAGACGGTAGCTTTAGGTTACATGATCAAGGGGATCCTCATCGCTGGATTGACTCCTATGTGGGAGGTTCGGATTCCGGGTCTCGTTCTGAAGGGTGGCAAAGCTATGGTGGGTGGCAACCAGACCAAGGGTCACAGTCTGGGTGGACTAACTGGAACTCCGAAGACAACGGCAAAGGACCCCGACCCTCAGAACGACTCACAGTCCCCACCTTCACCGCCGAGGACTCCGACGACTTGGGCAACTCCGCGAGGTCGTACCTCCGCCAGATTGAGGTCTGGCGCCGCATAACAAGGTTGCCTGCAAGCCAGCTCGGGTTAGTGTTATACCAACATCTAGGCGGGAAAGCCTGGATTGCAGCAGAGGAGCTCTCGGTTGCAAAGCTCAGTACCAATGGCGGGCTGCAGTATTTCACTAGCTGGGTTGCCGCGAGGTTCTTGGACTTGGAGGTGGCACGGATTGGCCGGGCTTTCTCTGACTTCTTCAGGAAGCTCAGGAGGAAGCCGGGACAGACGATCCGCGAGTACAACACGGAGTACGACCGGCTCCACGGGAGGTTGCGCGAGGTAGGCTGTTCTCTGCCGGAGGAGTGCGCGGCCTGGCTCTACTTAGATCGGCTGCAGCTGGAGGAGGCACAAGAGTTGAATCTGCTCGCCAGCGTAGGGAATCGGTACAGCCTACATCATCTACAACACGCCGCCGTTCTTCACGACAGGGGCCAGAGAAAGCCCTGGGAGGCTGGCGGAGGCAAGCCGAGACGCCCGAACTTCGCCCACGTGACGGACCACGCGGGCGAGTCCGACGAGGAGGAGCTCTTTGACGGCGAGGAGGCGATACCCGAGGACGTGGCCGAGGCGTACATGACCTACCAGTCCGCCAAGGAGCGCTACAGGACCCAACAGAGGAGCCGTGGGACCACCAGCGGAGGACAAGGCGACGGCGGAGAAAGGGCACCGAAGGGCGACGGGCAATCTGGAGACCGCAAGGCTGGAGATGGAGGACGTGACGGTGATCGCGAGGCCAAGCTCAAAGCGATGAAAGCCCGGAGCTTTTGCGGAGGCTGCGGAAGACGCGGTCACTGGCATCGCGACGATGCCTGTCCTTTGAACCGCGGCGGAGACAAGGGCAAAGCGGATCAGAGCGCGAGCGTTGCCATGACTACGGTGCTGCCGGCGGACGTCTACGCCTTGAAACACCTGCCCAGCCGATTGCTGGGGGTCGCCGACACGGCTTGCGCGAGGACAGTGGCCGGTACGCAGTGGCTGCAGTCCTACACGGACCTCCTCAACGAGCTCGGGGAGAAGCCAGTCCTGCAGAAAGAGTGCGAGGCCTACCGGTTCGGGGCGGGGAAAGTGCACTACTCTTCGTTCTATGTTGTTGTGGCTTTTCGACTCGGCAACTACAACATCCAAGTGCGCACATCCATCATCACCGGGGATCTGCCATTGCTGCTCAGCAAAACAGTCCTTGGAAAGCTAGGTATGGTGTACGATGTACAGAATGGCAGGGCTGACTTCAAGGCCATCGACCTCAAGGACTACGAGCTGACTACCACTACTTCGGGGCACCCAGCCCTACCGATCGTTCCTGTCAGTGCTTTGTCTGGCGAAAAGTCAGACTTACAGATCGAGGACCTCAGACTGCAGACCGCTGAGCAATACACGTCCGTTTTTGCAGTAGCTCACCAAGGCCCTCAAGCCCCGAAGTATACCGGTATCTTCTACGAGAAGAAACTCGACCCGAGCACCCGCACCATGTTGAGTCAGGATGTTCTGCAGCGAGATGTCTTTGTTGCATGGTGGGAACAGGCAAACAACGATCGGGACTTTTGGGTTGAGACTCCGGATACATGGGTGAGGGTACACGTGGTTCCTCGGAGAGCTTTGTTTAATCCTTCTACCTGGCGTACGGGGTCAACCATACTTCGAGACATGCTCACAGCGTCCATCGGCAGCCTGCGTACCACAGAGGGAGTGTGTTGCAAGAGCAGTTGTTGGTTAGAGACAACAGTAGACCAATGGACACCAGGTCAAATTGCCCAACCTTCTCAACCGCTGCTGTGGGTTGGAAGGACTGTCTTCTACAAGGTATCAGCCCCAGGCCCACACGATCGCGCTCCCGACCACGGGCATGGACTCCGAGCAATGCCAGGCGCGACCAGTGCCGGTGAGTCGCATGACAAAGCCCCAGTTGCTCTCGGAAGCAGTGCGCGTGGGAGCAACGGTGCACCACTCATGGTCAGTGGTGGAACTTCGGGCCACGATTCGCGACCACATGGACACCTACCACGAGAAGACCGCAGCGCAGAAGATGCAAGGATTGAGTTCCATGAAGCGCGAAGAGCTTGTGGCCAAGGCGAAGGAGATGGGTGTGATGGTCCCCGACCGCATCACCAAAGGGAACCTGTTGAGGATGATACGGACTACGGTGTCCACGACGGGCGACACAGTGATGACCATCGGGCGGTGGAAGGGCTCACTCTACAGGGAGATTCCCCGCGACTACGCCCGGTGGGCCCTCGAGGAGACCACCCGGACGAGCAATTCGTCACCAGAGCTCGCGATGTTTGCGAGATGGTGGGAGACGCAGCAGATGGACAAGGCCAACAAGACCGAGATCCCCGAGGAGGAGAGCGACTACGAGAACTCGGCGAGCGGCTACCGCCGCCCAACGTCATCGAGGGGGTCTGCAAGCGAGAACCCGGCGAACATCCACCGCACTTCAACGCCATCGAGGGGGTCTGCGAGCGAGAACCCAGCGAACATCCGCGGCACTTCAACGCCATCGAGGGGGTCATGGGACAAGGTGAGCATCATGGACGTCCAGAGCAACGTGAATTACACAGGCAAAGGGAACACCAAGGCCACGCCCAAGCGCAACAGTGCCGAGACGGTCGAGACAGGGATCATGGACTCACAGCCAGACCCAGAGACGCTGGCGGAGATACAAGCGCTCGAGACGAAGCTCGCAATCCTGAAGGACAAGGCGAGGAGCTCCCGGCCATGAGTTGTCAGACTTCTGAGACCAATGTCGAGGAGAGCGGTCCCCGGGGCTATGTGAAGGACTTGAGGTGCTGTGGGATGGTACGAGAAGGCGAGTTTATAGCCGAAGATGACTATGTGAGGGCTTACCGCAACAGGGCTAACAACTACGCCACGAACCCCGCGGGCGACCTTCATGGTGGTGATGAGCCGTGCACCTT